TGAGTCTTATTTCTGAATCTATAGTAATTTCTTTGTACTTTTGTTAACTAACGTTTATCATTATATTTTTCTATTTTCGTTCACTGGTGTTGTGAACTATATAAATAAATGGATTTGAAAAATGCTTTTCACTCGTCATATATGGATGTTTACATGACTCTGGACCAGCGTGTTTGATCCTCTGAAATGAGGCTCACTGTGTTTTATTGGGTGTGTTTAGGTCCATCCAGCTGCAGCTGAACATCGGTGTGGAGCAGATCAGGGTGGTGCACAGAGATGGACGTGTGGTCACGCTGTCACACCAGGAACAGGAGCTGCAAGACTTTCTCCTCTCACAGGTAACACCAGTAGCTTCCACAGTTATTGGAGGAGGCTGAATTTACTAGAAGCATGGCTGCACACTGTTGACTGTAATGCTTCAGTATTTAGTTCTGCGTATGCCTGCCTTCTTTTCACAGATGTCGCAGCATCAGGTACATGCAGTTCAGCAGCTGGCTAAGGTGATGGGCTGGCACGTCCTGAGCTTCAGTAACCATGTAGGTCTGGGCCCAGTGGAGAGCATCGGAAATGCCTCCGCGGTCACTGTGGCCTCTCCCAACGGAGAGTACGCCATCTCAGGTGAGACCGATGGCTCTTGGATCCTCAGGTTTCTCTGTAGTAGGAAGATCATATTAGCAGCAGCAACTCTACTACTCATGCCTCTGTGCATGAGACATTCAGGCTCTCCCTTAGCTAACCTCCCCCCAAAATCTGTGCTGTTGAATAAAGGCTAAAATGTAAAAAAAAATAATTATATATCAACCTTTTTTATTTGAAAGAAAAGGTAGAAACTAATGTAATAAATCAAGACGACACCCAGTCTGTCAGTTCATGGAAAATTGCTCCGGATTAAGCAGACAGGTTGATACAAGTTGGGGAATCTTTGAGAAACGTCCTCTCTTCAAACATCATTGAAATGCATCATGAGCCGGTTTCCTCGGGCCATGCAACACTCATGCTGAATATCTGTAAACACTGAAGAATAATGTGTGGCGAGACAAGACAGAAACTTTATTGTCATTGTTTAAAAACAACAAAAGTCTGCTCAGCAGCTCTTTATCATTATGCAGCAAAGTAAATAACTGTCAGTGGTTTTTCATCAAAGTTTCTTGTCTCTTCAGTACGTAACGGCCCAGAGAGCGGGTGCAAAGTTTTGGTGCAGTTCCCTCGCAGCCAGATCAAAGAGCTGCCAAAGAGCGACGTCATCCAGGACGCCAAGTGGAGCCACCTCAGAGGGCCGTACAAAGAGGTCCACTGGAGCAAGATGGAGGGCCGAAACTTTGTCTACAAGATGGAGCTCCTCATGGCGGCGCTGACTCCCTGTCCTTAGGTGCTGACTCTGTCTGCTGACTCCTCCCACACACAAAATAACAG